CCCCTCCCCCTGCATCTCCAGAGACCAAGCCTGGCTGCTGCGCCGAAGGGTGCCAGGTTTGCAAAGGGGTGGGGTGAGGATTGAAACCAGTTCAGTTACAGGCCGTGTGGACGCTCCAGTCTTGGTTTGAACCAGGCTGCTGGGATCGAAGCGTCGCGCCAGGGGGGCTGTACCCACCTCCCGTGTGTGTGAACAGGGCGTCAGGCCGGGAAAGGGACGTACCCAGGCCAGGTTGCTGCCTAGAGGGGAAAGGCCCCATTCCCAGCCCCCCTGAGCCAGCCAGTCCCCACCCTGGGGCTGGATCGGAGCCAGCACCCCCCCCCGAGGGGACAGGCCCCCTGGCCCGTTCCCTGCCCCGAGCTGTCCTGTCCCCGTCTCCGTTCTGTGTGGAACGTGCTGGCCGGGGCCGTGCCGGGATCTCTGCCCCCCAGTGGGAGGCCCCATCCGTCCATCCGTCCGTGCGTTACCTGTCCTTGCTTTGGTGGAGAGCCCCAGGTTGGTGGCCACGTCCAGCCCCGCGTCCGTGAACACCCCCATGAGGTTCTGCCCACTGCCCGCTGTGCAGGCGATGTCGTGTCCCTCCACCATGTCCCAGACCTGCCGGAGGCGGGGGGACAGGAGCGCACGTTGGCTCTCAGAGAGACAGGTGACCCCTGCCATGACCCAGAAGTCCTGGCTCCCAGCCCCCCCAGCTCTAATCCACCAGCCCCCCGTCCCCTCCCCTCCCCTCCCAGAGCCGGGGAGAGAACTCAGGAGTCCGGGCTCCCAGCCCCCCCGCTCTAACCCACCAGCCCCCCGTCCCTTCCCAGAGCCGGGGAGAGAACCCAGGAGTCCTGGCTCCCAGGCTGCCTCTCCTCCCCCCGCCCGGACACGGTCAGCGCCTTCTCTCACCTTCTTCTGCGTCAGTTTGTTTTTCTTGTTGAGAGCGAACAGGGCCTTGTCCATGGCCACCAGCCCCACCATGGCGTGGAGGTCCCCGATCACCTCCAGTTTGAGTTCCCGCTGGGGCTTGAACACCTTCCTCTCGTCGTCCTTGCTCTGGGGGCCGACGCGCAGCTGGGCGGGACGAGGAGACGGGGTGAGACGAGCACCCAGCCCCCTCCCCACCCCAGGCCAGGGCTGCCCCGACGTCGAGGGCGCAGGGAGCGGAACCCAGGGGCCACGCAGGGAAAGGCCCGTCTGGCCGCAGCCCCCTCCCGCCCGGCGCCCCAGGGACTCACGGTGCCCATGCAGCCGTCCGCCACATCCACCCACACCGAGTCGGCCACCAGCTCCTCGCTGCCCGGCAGGTAGTAATAGGCCACGATGCGGAACGAGGGCAGCAGCTCGGGCCCCACGTCCAGGGTCCAGGCCGTCATGACGGTGTCCGGGCTGCGGGGCTGGGTCCAGGCCCGGACAATCCTGCCTTTGCTCAGCAGCTGGGGGAGGGAGGGAGGCGGGTGAGACGCCAGGAGCCCCGTGGGAGCCCAGCCCAGAGCCGCCGGCTCCCGGCACACACCGGCTTGGAGGCTGCAGAGCTGAGGGCTGGGCAGTGCCCGGGCACCACCCGGGAGCCGTCCACGTGGGTGCCCGCGTCCACCACCTGGGAGCAGCCCACTCCGCGCTGCAGGTGGCGCGGTGACAGCGCTGGGCGGGTATGGGGCACGACGGGCCTATGGGGGGGCACGTGGGGACAGACAGACCCCAGGGGCTGAACGCCAGCCCAGGACCCATGGGGAGTGGGTGGGGGCAGACGGACCCATGGGGGTGCATGTGGGGACAGAGAGACCCATGGGGGGGACAGACGGACCCGGGGGGGATGTGGGGACAGAGAGACCCATGGGGAGTAGGAGGGGGGCAGACGGACCCATGGCGGGCATGTGGGGCAGATAGACTTAGAGAGGGAGGAGAGACAGACCCTTGGGGGGGCGGCAGACAAACCCAGGGGGGCCAGACGCCAGCCCAGGGGGCTCCCCAGACAGACGGTTGCGGTTCCCAACACCCAGGGGCGCTCACATTTCCCAGCTCCCGGGGCCTGTCCAGCCCCACCAGCCCTGCGGGTGCTGGGCCCTGGACGCTGCTGCCGATGCCGGGGGTGCCCAGCCAGGCTGTGCAGGGGGCCGGACGCATCCTGCAGCGGATCCCAGGCTGGCCCCGGCCTGGCGCTCACCAGG